CAGGGTTGCTGATTGGGGCCAATTGGGCCGGTTGGCCGTCGCAGTGCACGTCATAGCGACTCGTCATTCTGTCCTTTCGGTCGCTTGGCTTTTATATATATATAGATATTTCCTATGCTGTACTTTACATCTCCAAGACTAATTTTATAACTGGCAGTTGATACTTGTTAATCCCCTTCACTTTTTCCTCTCATTTTCCCTAACCCCCTCCCATTTGGCAACCATTAGTTTGTTCTCTGTATCTATCTGGTTATTTCTGTGTTTTTGTTGGTTCATTTATTTTGTTTTTTAGATTTCACATATAAGTGAAATCATATAGTATTTGACTTTCTCACTATGCCTTATTTCATTTATGATAATACTCTAGGTCCATCCATGTTGTAGCAAATGGCAAAATTTCTTTCTTTTTTTATGGCCAAATAATATTTTATTGTATACTAGTGGCCTGTTGCACAAAGATTCGCACAATAGGCCTTCCTTCCCTTGGCTGCCGGCACCGGTTTTCCTCCAGCACCCAGGACCCAGGCCTTTGATCCAGCCGCAGCAGCGAGGCTTGGCTTCTCTGCTCTGGCTGCTCCCAGCTCCTCGAGCGGAGGCCAGGGCTGGCTGGAAGCCTGGGTCGCCGGGGGCCACTCCTTGAGTAGAGTCCAGGGCGGGCTGGAAGCTTGGCTTCCTCCGTTGCCAGGAGCAACCCAAGCCTCCTGCTCGCCCCAGCTCCATGGCCACTGCCATCTTCAGTCATCTTCAGTCTTCGCTCAGCGCCTGATTATGCACATTAATTGCTATCTTTGTTGGGTTAATTTGCATACTTATCCTGATTGGCTGGTGGGCATAGCAGAGTGACATCAATTTGCATATTTCTCTTTTATTAGTGTAGATACTATGTATGACATCTTTATCCATTTGTCTATTAGTGGACACTTAGGTTGCTTCCATATCTTGGCTCTTGTAAATAATGCTGCAGTGAACATAGGGGTGCATATCTTTTTGAATTAGTGTTTTGGATTTCTTTGAATAAATACCCAGAAGTTGGATTGCTGGGTCATATGGTAGTTCTGTTTTTAATTTTTTGAGGAACATCCATACTGTTTTCCATAGTGGCTATACCAGTTTACAGTCCCTCGGCTTCTTTTTTTCCACCTTCTCTCCAACATGTATTCTTTGTTGTCTTTTTGATAATAGCCATTCTGGCGGATGTGAAGTGATATATCATTGTGGTTTGATTTGCATTTTGCTGATTATTAGTGATGTTGAGCATCTTTTCACGTGTTTGTTGGCCATCTGTATGTCTTCTTTGGAGAAATGTCTACTTAGGCCCTCTGCCCATTTTTTAATCGAATTGTTTTTTTTGATGTTGAGTTGTATGAGTTCTTTATATATTTTGGATATTAACCCTTTATCAGAGATATCTTTTTTAAAGATCTCTCAGTCACTAGTTTGCTTTTTTGTTTTGTAGATGGTTTCCTTTGTGGTACAAAAGCTTTTTAGTTTGATGTAGTCTCATTTGTCTACTTTTGCTTTTATTTATTTGCCCTCGGAGATATATTTAAAAAAATAGTAGTAAGTCCATTGTCAAAGAGTTTATTGGCTATATTTCCTTTTAGGAGTTTTATGGTTTTAGGTCTTTAATCAATTTTGAGTTTATTTTTGTATATGGTATAAGTAGTCTGGTTTCATTTTATTGCATGTATCTGCCTAGTTTTTCCAATACTATTGTCTTTACCCCATTGTATATTCTTGCCTCCTTTGTCATAGATTAATTTGACCATATAAGCTTGGGTTTATTTCTGGGCTCTCTATTCTGCTCCATTGATCTGTTTTGTGCCACCCAAGACCATACTGTTTTGATTATTATAGCTTTGTAATATATTTTGAATTTAGGTAGCATAATACCTCCAACTTTGTTTTTTTCCCCTCAAGATTGCTTTGGCTATGTGTTTTTTGTATGGTTCCACATAAATTTTAGGATTATTTGTTCTAGTTCTATGAAAAATGCCATTGGTATTTTGATAGGGATTGCATTAAATCCATAGATTGCTTTGGGTGATATGGATTTTGACAATATTAATTCTTCCAATCCATGAGCATGGTATATCCTTCCATTTATTTGTGTCTTCTTCAATTTCTTTCATCAATGTCTTATAGTTTTAATAGCAGAGATCTTTTATCTCTTTGGTTAAATTTATTACTATGTATTTTATTCTATTTTTTTTTTAAATGTGTTCTTATTGATTTTTAGAGAAAGAGAAAGGGATAGGAATAGAAAGTTAAAAACATCGATGAGAGAGAAACATCATCGATCGGCTGCCTTCTACATGCCCCCACTGGGGATCAAGCCTACAACCCAGGCATGTGCTCTGACCGGGAATCGAATCATGACCTCCTGGTTCATGGGTCAATGCTCAACCACTGAGCCATACCGGCCAGGCAGTATTTTATTCTTTTTGATGCAATTATAATTAGGCTTGTGTTCTTAATTTCTCTTTCTGATAGTTTGTTACTAGTGTGTAAAAATGCAATAGATTTCTGAATATTAATTTTGCATTCTCAGATTTTACTGACTTCATTTATTAGTTTTAATGTATTTTTGGTGGAATCTTTAGGGTATCATGTCATTTGCAAATAGTGACATTTTTACATTTTCCTTTCCAATTTTCTTTTTATTTCTCTTTCTGTCTGATTGCTGTGACTAGAACTTCCAATATTATGTTGAATTATGTTGAACTAGAGGCCTGATGCACGAAATTCGTGCAAGGGGCTCAGCCCTCGCAGCCACGGCGGCTTGCCTCTGCCCTCGCAGCCCCGGCTTCGTCCAGAAGGTCGTCCAGAAGGATGTCTGAAAGGTCGTTCAGCTGTCCGGTCTAATTAGCATATTATGCTTTTATTATTATAGATACGTGTAGTGAAAGTGGACATCTTTGCCTTATTCTCAATCTTAGAGGAAGAAAAAGCTTCCAACGCTTTGTTATTATGATGTTAGCTGTAGTTTTCATATATAGCCTTAATATTTGGAGGTGTGTTCTCTTTATCCCCACTTTGCTGAGAGTTTTTATCATAAATAGATGTTGAATCTTTTTAATGCTTTTTCTACATCTATTGATGTCATCAAATGAATTTTTGTTTTATTTTATTTTATTGTTTATCAAATGAATTTTTATCCTTTGTTTTGTTTATGAAGTGTATCACAATTGATTTTCTATTTTGTGCATTCTTTAGGAAATATTTATATAATTAATTTTATTATAGTTCCAAATTAATCTTTTATTTTATAGCAATTAAGAAAATGTAGAAAATGTAAAATCATGGGGAGAAGAAAAAATTAAAATCACCCATGGTTGTATTACCTGTATTTAAATATTTCTATTGTTTTTTGAATCTTAGTTTTTCTATCTGAATAGGTAGAGTTTTTACATAGTAGTTCCAGCTATACTATGCCTTTCCCCCTGAATAGTATATTTTGAAAGCAGATTATTATAAACATTTGTTGAGTACTTTTTACCACTATGCTGAGGGCTTTCACAGACATAAGTTAATTTAACTTCTTCCAGAAAAGTACCATTTTTCTATTTTGAGAAGAGAAAACTGAGGTTAAAGAAGTTGCTTATAGAAAAACAAAACCTACTCCTATCTCACTGCAATTCGCTACATGTATTAAACTTTTATACTGACTTCTGAATTAAAGTGTGACAGCAACACTAAAAAAAAATTGCTAGTTCAAGAATGCATAGCTAGTAAATAGTAGCATCAAGATTCGAACTCAGGTCTTCTAACTACATGTCCACATGCTTCTAGTACTACTAGTATATTATAGCTGTTGAATTTGTCATATGAATTATTTTTATTAAAAATTGTCTTGAGATATTTTTGGTAATTCTTACCTAAACTGAAAATTATTATTACAGATATAAGCCTTCCAAAGTCAGCAGCAATCTGTTATACAGCAGCACTGTTGAAGACAAGGACTGTTTCAGATAAGTAAGTAGTTATGGGAACTACAGTAATTTAGAAAGACTGCTGAACTCAGTATTATGTTTGCCATCCACTGACTTCGAGCAATGCTCACTTTCCTTTCTACTTCCTTCTGAATAACCTTGATCTTAGGAGACTCTGAGACTTCTGACTATGTGTAGTGGAAAGAGCAAAGTAAACCTTTCTTAGAGCTGAAGTAAACCTGGGCTCATATTCAAGTCTACTATATGCCAGGTGTGGATCTTTGGGCAAGTTAATCAGTTTGAGACTCTTCCTCATCTGTAAAATAAGAATAATAGTACTGTAGGGTGGTTCTGTGAGGATTACATGTGCTAAATGACTAAAACAATGCTAGACAGAAAGTACATACTAGTATAGTACACAGTAGCTATGATGATAATGATAAGATGTGTGATAGGGGAAACAATTTCTTACTCTCTGTTCTGAGATTATAATTCTGAATTGTTCTGTATTCCTTGCATTTGTGGCTGCCTTTAACGAATTTCACTTTATTCCACAAATAAGATATTCAGAAACCAACCAAAAGGTTGGTTACTTTAGATTACTATTTACATGAATTAAAATGGAGTATTCACAGTCTGTTTCCTTTTCGTGAAAATTTGATAAGAATGTACTTCTGTTTTGGGAGATTCTCTGGATATCCCCATGTAGCCTTTCATATTTTATTCTCTTTCCCAAAGTGTGCCTTAAATGATCTTCTTCTGAAGTCTTTCGTTACCTAAATTTGAAGGTTTCCATTTCTTATGCTGCCTTTATTATATGTTGGACCAAGGCTTTAATTTGATGTTTAGTAGTTATTTGGTTTTGTCTTTGATCATCACCAGAAACTCTGATTAGATTATGATCTAAATCCATATTTTTTTTATTATTCATTTCTTAATTTTGTGGTTTTCTTACAGATTCTCTCCAGAAACAGCCTCCAGACGAGGTTTAAGCACAGCGGAAATTAATGCTGTGGAAGCAATTCATAGAGCTGTGGAATTTAATCCTCATGTTCCAAAAGTGAGAAACTTGATGATAAAAATATTACTTTTATTTAAGTTTATCAAACTCAGGACAGTGTACAGACCAAAGTTTTGGTTTTTCGTCTCCATAATTTGAGTTGGAATTGTTTTAGTCCACTATATTTTGATGCTTATTATTCACCTTAAAGGAGATGTTAAAAGTTGCTGAGAAAGGCGGGTAGGAACAGTAGTTCACTATAGGCTTTGTAATTGCTGTCAAAATAGAATTTGAAATTCACTTAGCTGTTCCTTCTAGTATAGTTTTAAAGAAGTAAAATGGCTTGGTCTTAAAGATCATTCATTTTTTAGATCATTAAATCAAATTTCCTATTACTGTGAGAGCTTTTTACATCTAAACAGATGCCTGGGTTTTGAACTATGGCTGAACAGACAAAGACTGAAAACAAATAGATTAAAGTGATCAATGATAGGAAATAGATTGTACAAGTCCCCAGAAAAACTGCTGAGTTGATGTTTATTTGGTCCCATCTCATTTGTCTTTATAATATGCACTTTGCAGACATACAGATTATTGGTTAATCTCTGTGTGTTATCACCCATAATTAAATTTTGGGTTTTAAAAACAATGTCCCTTGTTAGGCAGTATAGAATATTCAGTAGATGTATTTATGAGAAAATGTGAATTATAATGACTTATTTCAGTATAATGTATGTTGATAGAATTTGGAGGCTAATAAACATTAAAGAGATTAATCTCTAAAAAATTATCTCCAAGAAATGAAAGTTGTAAATCTGTTAGAGTGAGTAAAGATAGAGTCAAGAAAACTACTGAAATCTAAGAATGAGAGTCAACAAATATTTATATTACTCTCTTACTAAGTGATACTGGTCCCATACATTTAAATAAAATTTTTATTATGAATTATAATACACATACAGCAAAGTTTATGCACAGAAATGTGCATCTTAATGATTTATTATAAAGCAAATTAGTGGAAACTACCTCTTACGTTAAGAAACAACACTGCCAGGCCCCAGAAGCCTACCTGACTGCCCTTCCAAATTACTTCTTCGCTCTTACCTAAAGTTACCCATTATTCTGACTTTAATTGTGTTCATTTCCTTCTTTTCTTATATTTTTGGTTTATACTTTTTGTTGTTGTTGTTGGCTGTATAAAACAAGGAATGGTCCCTCTTCTTTTTATTCTGTGGAATAATTCGTGTAAAATTAAAATTATTTCTGCCTTAAACAACTGGTAGAATTAGCTGATAAAACCATCTGATTGAGAAGGATTTTTATTATAAATTTTATTTATTTAGTTTAATGGTTTAATTACAAATTCAGTTTCTTCAACCATTCTATAACTATTTAAATTTCTTATTTCTTTTTTGTGTTGGTTTTGGTGAGTTGTATTTTTCTAGAAATTTACCTCATCAAAATTTTTAAATTCATTGGCATGAATTTTCATAAAATCCTTTTATTACCTTGTTAATATTTGTGGGATTAGTTATAATATCCACTTTTACTCTTAACACTAGTTACCTATTTTTTTCCTCAACCAGATTCTCCAGGGATCTATCCATTTTATTAGGAGCAAAGAACTGAGCTCTGGCTTTGTTGTTTCTCTCTACTATTTGTTTCTGGTTCATTCATTTCTACTCTTTATGACCTCCTTCAACTTTCTTTGGCCCTATTTTATTATTTTTTATTTCCTGTATCTTCTTACACAGGTATTTAATTCATCAATATTCAGCATTTGTTCTTACTAATATATTTTATTTAAGTCTGTAAATCTCTTTCAAAGCACAGTTTAACTGCTTACTATGTATATTTTTGCATAATTTAGTTCAAAATATTTTTTACATATTTTAGCACTTTATTAAGAATAATTCCAAATGGGTTATGAAGAAGACTTATTCATTTGAGTTTGACAAGTTTTCCAAAAACTCTTAATGAAGTTATGTTCACCAATAAACAATAAAACATCAGCAGAACTATCATACCAGTATACTGGGCAAAGAATAAAGCTGATACCAAAAGTAACATGCAATATAAGAGATACAGCATAAAGAAAGATAATCTGCTGGGTATTAAAAATCATCTCAAGCCCAGCTGGTGTGGCTCAGTGGTTGAATGTTCACCTATGAACCAGGAGGTCACAGTGGTTCGATTCCCCGACCGGGTCCACGTCCAGGTTGCGGGCTCAATCCCCAATGTGAGGCATGCAGGAGACAGCCAATCAATGATTCTCTCTCATCATTGATGTTTCTCTCTGCCTCTCCCTTCCTCTCTGAAATCAATAAAAAAGTATTTTTAAAAATCATCTCAATATGAACTCTTTGCTACCAGCACAGAATTAATTAGCTCTTGAATCCAAACCATGCCAAGGTAAGCTTGGCTGATGGAAGCCAGGAGTCAATAATGGGGGTAGAAAATAAGTTCCCCAGTGCAACAGATCTCAATTGTGTTTTGGAGCATTTCCCTGGCTGATACAAGCAGTATTAAAAAATCTTTCTGGGCCTTAGCCAGTTTGGCTCAGTGCATATAGCATTGGCCTGTGGACTGAAGGGTCCTGGGTTTGATTCTGATCAAAGGCACATACCTGGGTTGCAGGCTTAATCCCCAGTAGGGGGCATCCGGAGGCAGCCGATCAATGATTCTCTCTCATCACTGATGTTTCTCTCTCTCCCTCTTTCCCTTCTTCTCTGAAAATCAATAAAAATATATTTTAAAAAATATTTTTGGCAAATGATATAAATAGTCATTTTACTGAAGAAAACACATGAATAGCTAATAGGCACATTAAAAGATACTCGGCATTATTGGCCATTGAGAAATACAAATTAAAACCACAGTATGATATACTTGATACCCACTAGAATGCCCATATTATCAAAGACTGGCAATACTAGCTGTTGGCAGGAATGTGGAGAAACTTCATACATTGCTGCTGTACATGTAAAATAGTATGACTACTTTGGAAAACAATTTTGCAGCTAAACATATGTACTTACTGTATGACTTATCAATTCCATTCCTAGGTATCTACACAAGAGCAATGAACACATATTTTTATACAAAGACTTGTATGCAATTGTTCATAGCAGTATTGTTCACAAGATCCAAAAATTTGAAATAATCCACACAGGTGAATAAATAAATGAATTGTGATATATCCATAAAATGGAATACTTCTTAGCATTGAAAAGGAACAAAATATAAATACATACAAAAATAGATAAACCTCAAATAAAGGAAATCAGACACAACATATTGTATGATTCTATTATATGCAATTTCTAGAACAGGTGAACATGTAGAAACAAAAAAGCAGATCACTGGTTCCCTGGGACTGGCGGTGGGAGTGGGGATTGATTGCAAACAGGAACAAGGGAACTTTTTGTGGTGATAGTTACACAACTGTATAAATTACTAAAAATCATTGAACTATATATACTATACTTACATGGTGATCTTGTTATATGTGAAATATACCTCAATAAAACTGTTAAATATATATGTACACATATATAAAAATATATAATGTGTATATAATTTAAAATCATTTTTATTTATAGGTAGAAATTTACCTGTTTCCCCCCCAACTTTATGTCACAGCCAGTTGACAATTCAACTCTATTAAAATATCCAGCTAAGTATCACCTTACATTATTGTTTGTGGATAGACATTTTAAGCAGGCTGTTATCAAACAGGATAATATCCCACTTAAATAACACTAGTGTTATATGAACTAGAAGAGCTCTGGAATTTGTGGCTGTCTGTGTTTGTTAGGATTTTACAAGTGATGAAGTATGTAAAGGTTCTTTCCCCGCCTCCAACCCCCCTTATGGTCTCTATTCCTAACTCCCAGCTACAGCCAAGCAAACATAAAGGCTTTATGGGTTTTATCTTCAAACTTCAACTGTGGGTCATAATTTATTTAACTTAACAAACAGTGACATTCAAATATATATATTAAATCTTTTAATCTTACAAATTTATTATGCAAATTTGTCAAATGTTATATGAATCTTACCAGTAAAATGACAAAGGATAAAGCTGTTTTAGCAGGAAACATTTTTTTGGCAACTTTCCACATAACTACAACAGAAAGGCTGTAGGTCTAGAGCTATGCAATTTGTTAAAGCTGGAAACTATTAGATGTGCAATAGAGAAAGATCACATAAATCTCTTCAGGCTATGAATTTGCTTTAGATATTTCATTAATATTGATTGCCTGTACAGATTTTTTTAATCTACTGAGTGAATTTCAGTGTACAGTAACTATAATAGTAATAGTTAAAAATTAGAACAGTATATTTTCATGGTTTTTGACTTGTTCTTCATTACCTAACTATGGCTTTGGTTCAGCAAACATTTTCTTTTTTAGTCACCAAACAAAAAAGGGATTGTTTATCTTTAAGCAACTATAGAAATGGTCAGATTTTTTATTTTACAATAGAAAATCTTTCATATCTTTCAATGATTTCACAGCATTCTATTTCAGTCATTCTGATTTCTCATATTCTGTATTATCCCACCATCAAGGACTTTTATAAAAAGTGTTCTTTTAATTGAGATAATTCACATATGACAAAACTCACCTATTTAAAGTACATATTTCAGAGGTTTTTACTATCTTCACAAGGTTGTATGATTATCGCCACTATCTAATTCTAGATCATTTTCACTACCCCAAAAAGAAACCCTGAACCTATTATCAGTTACTCCCCATTCCTCCCTCCTCCAATCATTGGCAACCACTAATCTACTTTCTGTCTCTATGGATTTGGAATCATACAATATGTGGCCTTCCATGTCTGACTTCCACTTAGCACAATATAGCGTGCCATGTATCAATACTTCATTTCTTTTTATGTCTGAATAATATTCCATTGTATGAATATACCACATTTTATTTTTCCATTTATCAATTGATGGACAATTGGGTTGGTTCCACTATTTGGCTATTATGAATAATGCTGCTATGAATATTCAGGTGCAAGTTTTTACACGAACATATGGTTTCACTTCT